GTTTACATCAAAATAAATAATTTACTTGGCAAAATTCCTAATTTATAGCAACTTATTTTCCTTTCCTTTTTTCTTTATTGTACACAAGTGGGAAAAAAGTCCCATCGTTCCCACTTTCAAATAATTTTAACAAATTGCGTAAACCACATTTGGTGGTGTTATCTGTTATAACAAATGTGAAAAATTTCAAAATGTGCCAATATGTACCATATTTGACGGCATATTATAAGACTCGCTTTTTTTCCTAAATTTGGTCTCCAAAAAAAAGTTACCTGCGTCTTATACGTGAAGGACGCAGGTTAACTTTCAATACTGAATGCTATTTTTAGCCCGGATTGGCCTGAACTTGAAAATGCCGTAAAAATGTGGGTGATAGATAAGAGGAAATCTGGGATAAGTGTTTCAACAAAAATGATAATCAATGTGGCCAAAGGATTTTCAGAAAAACATGGGAATCAGAACTTTTCAGGGTCTGAGGGCTTGTGCTACAGGTTCATGAAAAGGCAAGGCTTATCAATGCGCACAAAAACAGCTATTGCACAGAAAATGCTAGCAGATTATGAAGAAAAAATATTAGCATTTCATAGGTTTGTTATAAATGCATGCAAGAAAACTTCTTTTGAGCTCGGTCAAATAGGAAATATGGATAAAATTCCACTCACATTTGATGTACCATCCAACAAGACTGTGAGTATTAAAGGGTCCAAATTAATAACCATAAAACCCACAGGTCATAGGAAAAAAATCCAGATATACGGTAGCTCTAACATGTTGTGCTGATGGCACAAAACTACCGCCGTTTTTCATATTCAAAAGAAAAACTTGTTCGAAAGAAAAACTCATCCGAAAGAAAAAACTTCGGATGTAATTGTTCATGTTCATCCGAAAGGCTGGATGGACGAAGTTGGAATGAAACTGTGGTTACAGAACGTATGGGTGAGGCGACCTGGTGGACTCTTAGGAAAACCCTCTCTTTTGGTTTTGGATCAGTTTAGCACCCATAGAACTGAAACCATAAAGAATAAAGTGAGAGAATTAAAAACCTAGATAGCTGTCATTCCTGGTGGACTGACTAGCTAATTGCAGCCTTTAGATGTATCGGTGAATAAGCCATTTAAGGAAAAAGTGTGAGAACAATGGAACAAGTGGATAGGAGAGTCGCATCACGCCCTCACACCCTCAGGTAGAATGAAGCGGCCCTCTATTTCACAAGTGTGCGAGTGGGTAAAAAGATCTTGGGAGGACGTAAAGGCTGAAGTAATTGTTAAATCCTTTAAGAAGTGCAGAATCAGTAATACTCTTGATGGAACAGAAGACGATGCATTATTCGAAGAAGGTGATACTAGCGATGATGGGAACAGTAGTGATGATGATATTATCGTTTTTGATGATGATGATAGTGAAAAGGATTTTTATGGTTTTGAAAGCGATTAAAGTCTAATTTCATGATAAGCCACGTTTTCCTTGAATCTGTGTTTTTTTGTTTCTGCTTTATTTTGTATTATGTTTGATTGCTTGCCATTCACTCATTTATTCATTATTGAAATTTACATATCATGTTCAAAATAGCTTGCCGTTTGTTATTTTCCTTAATAAAAATATGTTTGGTAATTGCATTCAATGATCGTTTATTTGGCTTTTATGAAACGTGAGAACTAAAAGAAACCACATTTTAAGTTATTGTGGTACCGCGCTGTAGTGCGGACTATTGAAACTTTTTTCCCTTGTGTGTGGCCTTCTAAATAAGGGTGCGTCTTGCATGCCATCAAATACGGTAAATTCACATATATCTTAGGAAATTTTGAATGAAAAAACTCTACTTTTTTCAGATATGCTTAGAAATACATCTACTTTAAGATGATTGTAAAAATATTGTAGATTATAATTCAAAAATTAAAAAAAGTTTTAAATTGCATATTTTAAAATTAAATCGTAAAAAATGGGCTAATTTTCTTTGGAATGAACCTAAATTTTGAAATGTAAAAGAAAGAATTAAGTAAGTTTGATAAAAAAGAGGTATTAATTAATATATATCAAATTCAATTAATATTAAGGGGATTTGTACATCTTAAACCCCTCATGATCTTCGAATATGTGACTATTGCAAGAATTGGGATATTTTATTTATCTTAAAAGCAATTACTTCCAACTTTTTACAGCTCATTACATAATGTAGCTGCTTTGGAAACTAGTAACCAGAAAGTTTGTGTTGCCACAAATATTTTTGTAATTTAATCCTCTTTGTGACAAAATATTTCGCCATGTTTCCACCTTGCGTGCATGATATTTTAAAAATGGCTAATGGTACATACTTGAAATTTGATGGAATTCTTTATATGGACATTATTTTCTAACTGAACCAAAAATCTGATGAATATTTTAATATTGAAAAATTTTATGGACGAAAACATTACAAATTTTGTAAATAAAATACATTTTATAAACTCAACTCAAAATAAAATAAAAATTTAACATGAAATTTTCAGAATTTTAGGTTCACAGTAGTTTCCAAATGTTATAAAAGCTATATATTAAATATGGAGTTAAATTATGAAACAAAGTTTTAAACTGTGCGCGCAAGTTGGAAACATGACGAAAAATGTTGTCACAAAGCGGATTAAATTATAAAAATATTTGTGACAAAACAAACTTTCTGATTACTATTTCAGAAAGCAGCTATATTATGTAGTCAGCTGTAAAAAGTTGGTAGTAATTGCTTTTAAAATAAATAAGTTATCCCAATTCTTGCAACAGTCACCTATTCGAACATCTTATGGGTTTTAAGGTGTAAGAGTCCTTAAGGAGCTAGAATTTTGAGAGCTAATTTTTTAAAAACTATTTATGCAATTTTTACATAACTTGGCAGTTTGGCATAATTTGAGTTGTAGAATACTAAATATGGAAAAACAATTGGCATGTCATTTCATAAAAAGTCTGATTTTGTGTCAATCTGTTAGAACAATGCTATGTATAAATCTAACACGAGTAATGGTAATAGTCTTAAAATAGTCACGCTTTCAATCCTTGAAAAAATGCATCTTGAATTTCGTCAGTTGGCCCAGAAGAACAGGAGATATAGAACTGTCGATTTTTTTTTTGTGTGCAATGTGCATCTATTGAAAATGCATTTGTGAAAAGGATTAATATTTTTTTTACATTGAGAAAGCTTGTGACATCATATGCAGCTATCTGATCATGATGTATATAAGAACTTTCAAGGATATTTGTTAATTGTTATACACATTGTTTTGTGGAATAAAGCTTTTCAAGTGGACACTGTCTTTTTTTTTTTTGTCTTTTCAAGAGGAAGATGTACTACAAAGCTGTGTATGAAGTGTTACACTTTTAAACTTAGCTTAATGTGATAAAAAATCATGTTTCATACCTAACTTTCTAGCCATAAGAAGAAAAAATTAAAAGCTTTAAATCTTTTGAAACTTTTGAATATCCACGGGGAAAATAACTATTGTTCTGTGCTTCATGTGTATTGAGCAGTTATTTGGTCAAAATTAGATTATAGGCCACTTAAAATCGAAATAACAACCTTGTATTTAGTGTACATATGCTAAAATACTCGATCGATTTCAAGAGCAGCTAAAGGTCCCTCCTCATCAGGAGAATGAAATTATTAGAAAGGGGCAGAAAAATAAAGCATTGGCAAAGGAGTCTCAGAAACACGTAGTCATTATCAGCACACATGTGGTCGTAACTAGATTTTGAATCGGATTTACACTGGCCGCCTACTTTTACCGAGCCAGGCTATCTGATCAAACATATAACACATAGACTAAAACGTAAACAAATCAAAAAATGGGAAGCGAGGGGCAACTGCACCTTCACGAACAAAGACTGAACTTCATGGTTCAGTTTTGGTTTGGATACTGATATAGTAATCAGTAAAATAGCTTGAATTCAATCCTTGGGATAATATACAGATTTAATTTCTCAGCATTTTCTTTAGTCATAGGGAATTTTCATATTTCTTACTTTGAAAACTTATTGGTCTCTAAAAGTCAATAGCAAGATAATCTAACAAAAATTTAAAATCTATTATAGAATTGCAACCATTTATTTTCAATAATATTTATGAGTAAGCAAATTTTCATTCTTTCTTTAGAGATGGTGAATGTAATTTGAAATGCTTGTAACTACTATTGTAAATCATTGTTATATTATTATAAATTATGAGCAGTATTATGGATTTGATTATTAATATTTATGGTAACTGCTAGAAAATCATTCTTTGTTTTTGTTTAAGGCACAGGCTGAAGTTTTATGTGCTTTATCAATAATTGCAGCAAACATTGCTTTCAAATTTTATGTCTATTGCACACTTGAAATTATAATTTGGCATATAAACATAAGTGAGAAAATATCTAATAAAAAAGGGAGGGATTTTTAAAATTAAAACTAAATCAAATTTTTTAGTCTGGCAAAACTTATAAAAAGTTATCTTTCTCGAAATTGTATCAAAATGGTACGATGGGTTGCTGTATCATCATTAAGCAATAAAATCTTTGAGAATATTTCATTTCCTTATCATAAACCTGAATGCTGTGTTTTGAAGTAATGGGAACTAAACTGCAGCCCAAACATAAATCAGTTTGCTTTTACATTAAATTTGTAATAAACTATAGATCTAGAAATCAAGTAATTTAACTGAAAACGGGTGCAAATAAATTGAAATGCTTGGATAGAGCAGATTATGCTTCAAATATGTAAAATCTGCAAAATTTGGAAAAGGAATGAAACAAGAGTTCTTTGGTAAGGATAATTCTTCTGCTACCAATCATATATCTTTTTTATGCAAGAGTGTTCAAGAAAAAAAGGTCACTTTTGAAAAATTTATCTTTGAGAATATTATTACAATAGTTTTTCCATTCATTGGAATGATGAGGTTTGTTTATGGGGGTAGTTAATTTACTGCTTTGTGTTTGTATTATTACTTGTTGCAATTTATAATTTTCTAAGCCTGTTTCTGAATCTAATTTTTATAACAGAATCCTCGCTTTGAAATTCGTAGAGCTTTGGCACAAGGCGTCCCTCCATTTCCTTATAAAGTAGCAAAGACTTTAGATCCTAACATCTATAGGAATGTTGAATTTGATATGTGGAATGAAAAGAGGAAAGGTATATTTCAGCACAATGTGTTTTTACATTGGGTTTTATTGTTAAAATTTTCATGACATTTACATAGATTGCAAGAAAAATGAAATATTATTGACTAGTTATATCTAAATTTTTAAGGTTATTCTCTGAGGTAGGTGCTTAGTTTTATATTTGTGGAAAGATTTTTTATTAACTGTATAAAGGTGTTACGTGTAACTTTTATGTTATAGTTTTACAGCTTCAAATAAGAAAGGAATTATGAATTGTTGCATATGTATCTGTATTATTTTTTATTATATATCTATTAAGAATGCTTCCTTTGTTTAATATATTTTTAGGATATGTTCTATGATTTGAGCATAGTGCTGTAAAGTGTACTTCTGTTACTTTTCGAAGGTCCTGTCTGAAACATATTATTCTTTTTTAAATGCATATTGCATGTTTTAGGTGACTAACATTAATAGAAGTAATTTGAAGAACTTTTTATTTGATAATAAGATTCTAAAAAATACATAAGTAATTTTGCAAATTGTTTTAGAATTTTTAAATTGTAATATTCTTAACTATTTCCTTAATTGGAAAATTAAATATATTTGATTATTTCAAAATTGTATCACTATAACAATTTAATTCTGGAAATGCATATATATACGTCATAATAAGAGCAAAACAAGGAAAAGCCGGAACAGTGTCGATGCGTGCCTAGATCCATATTGAAGAAGAATTTTGATTGCGTAGTATTTAAAAAGCTTGGCAGTCGAGGCAGTTTAATTCCATTTTTATTTCCAATTGATATTTGTGGCCACAATCACTTGGCACTCTAGTCGTGCCTTTCCACAGAAGATTTACGTTTTTGATATTGTTGGGATAGAAAGCAAGCCAGCGAAATTACAACTTAGCACAGTAGAGAGCAAAAGCTGAAGTGCGTAGTTATGCAAGATGGAAGCACGCGAAGAGAAAAGTTTTTGTTTGCAATTCGGTGATTGGTTGTCAAGAGGCATCTGGTATTAACGGTTACGTAAGATCGCATGATTAATTTGAATGACGCAATGCAGAGAAGTTATTACGATTTTAGAATAGAGAGGAAGAATTAATGTTTATAGTTATATTATAATTCTGATTCATACATTTTTATCTTACATATATGTACCTCTAAAAGTTAAGGAACAGCATGTTTTTCAGAGCTCACCATTACAAAAATTTCAGTATCATTTAATTCACAGTTCATATGCAAAAACAATAGCTACCACTTTTATTTTATAGAAATGAATACTTATATAGGAGTTGGAGAAAAAATGCAAAAATTGTAATTTTTGTTCATGAGTGTTGATCTTCAGTTGTTATTACAGTTTCGTGGACAATATCCATGAGATTCTATCAATGTCCAGGAGAAGTCGTTTGCCCAATTCGTTGAGGTAGCGGGCAATCGGATGACTGGAAATGGGGATGTCACAAGCTGATACTGCTAGCCTTCTCAATGTTTCTCATAGTGTGGTCCACCGACTATGGAATCTGTTTGAATCCGAGGATTCTGTGTCTAGAAGACATGTTCCAAGCAGACCTAGAGGTAAACGCATGTGGGGGATACTGTTATTTAGCTCTCTTGGCCGAAAGAAGGAGTAACATTACTGTGCCCCAGCTCATAGCAGATCATTTAGTGGCAACAGGAACAAGAATCTCTGCTATTACACTGCACAGACACCTGCACAATACAGTCTGTATGCAAAGCGACCAGTTTGTGTCCCCTTGATGCAAGGATAAGGAAGTGGCCTTTTATGTTGGCAAAAGAACACGTCTCCTGGACCAGTCAACAATGGGTGTCTGTTCTCTTTACAGATAAGTCTAGGTTCACATGGTAGAGTGATTCAGGTTGTCAGCTGATGTGGATGGAACAATGCACCAGATACAACCAATCCCACATTGTGGAAAAACACAGTTGCAGAGGTGGTGGAATAATTGTTTGGGCTGGAATCTCTTTCAGTGGTCACACTGACCTGCATGTGTTCCATGGAGGAACTTTGACTGGTGTGAGATATCGAGACGAGATCCTGGATCAATACATCCACCCATATGCCACTGCTATTGGTCCTGGATTTCTTCTGATAGATGACTATACATGACCTCGCCGAGCTCGGGTTGCTGAATAATATTTTGAAGGTCACAATGTGGAGCAGATTTTATGGGCAGCTCAATCCTCGGACCTGAATCCGGTAGAATATCTTTGGGACTACCTTGGGAGACAGGTTGCCAGGTTGCTGCTTTAAGTTCTCCTCTAAGGTCGTTAGATAAGCTTGAACAAGGATTACTGAGTGTCTGGTTGTTGCTTCCCATTTCACTGACTGACAACTTAATTGAGAGCATGGAGCATCGCTGATGCCTATGCATTGCAGCTAGAGATACACATTCCTTATTAAAACCCACTTTTGTAACGTTAGCACCCCGTGTTTCTCAAAAATCTGTCCTATATTGTTTCTCCAAGACTGGATTTCTCTGCAAAGAGTGCAATTTTGTTGTAATTCATATTTGTGTTGAACTTTAGAAACATTCTATGTTGCATTCATTAAAAAAAACTGTTTAGTGAACATGTCCTGTAAATTTCTTGTTTCTATATTGCTTCATTCTCAAATTAGACACAAAAAACATGCGGTTCTTTAACTTTTGGAGGGCAGTGTATATACACACACTTATGGAACTATATACTAATACTGCTGCTTTTAAAGTACTCACCTTGCGCATCTATGTGCTAACTTAGATGTTAATACCTCTGGTAACTGGCACTGAACTCATTTTATTGCAACACTGTATATTACTAGTCCAAAGGGGCTTTGTCCTTGAAGGACTATTGTTTTCGTTTTGCGATTTTGCGTTGGTTTGCTATAAATGTCTGTTTCACTTTTCAAACTGTTGCCACCAAATGTTAGTCCTGCATTATATTCGAAATGTTGAAGAAATTAAATAATGAAAAATCTGCATAAATGTATGTATATTATTTCTTGCATTGTGATAAAACAATGGTACATAGTCATCTAATTTTGAATAACGTAGCCTACTGCAAATATGGGCATGTGGAAGTGCAGATTTGGAAATTTTTTTATTATCGATTTCATATTTTATAAAACTTTAACGAATTTTTGATTAAGAAACTCAAGAATTTTAAAGTGAGCAATGGCAATGTTGTGCAGAAAAAACATTTTTTACTCCAGCGCGTGTGACTCTGTATCGGAAATTCTAAAGTTTTCAATTTAAAACTATTTTGCTGTATTGCTGTTGAACTGAATTTTATGGTTTAAGTGCAAAGAACGTGATATTTAATAAATAAAGGTAACAGGCAAAATGTTAAAGACTCTTTGGACATAATTTAAAATCTGAAACCTTTCAGATTTTTATTCATTTTTTTCTTTTTTATATTCTAATGAGTATTGGTTATTTTAAAGACCATCATCCCATAAGTGCAGCTTTTAGGTTTTAGAATAACCAGACATGACAGGTGAATGGAAAGATGATATAATTGGGTAATATTGCTTTTGTTCAGAATATCTCTCGTAATGATAGTGTGATAATCATAAACGGTGAGTGATAATCATAAACTTTACAGAAGTTTTTCTGATTTCCAGGTCTTCAAATGAAACTGGCCTGTTTTTTTGACTCATCCATAATTCTTCAGCTATCAAGTCTCATACTTGTTCATTTATTGGATCATATTGCCTCTTGCATTTTAATATTAATACTCTTCATTGTTTTTGGTGGTATGCTTTCCGAGATAATCTGTCTCATTTTCTGAGCCATCTCTGAATGTCTTGGTCCATTGATTTCAAACTCAAATGAATATGGAGCGAATGTGAAATCTGAAAAGAGTGGATAGGATTGTTTTTTAAATGCTTAAAGATGATTGAGATGCTTTTAAGGTTTAACAAATTTTATTAACAAAATAAAAAATATTTCTAAATAATTTTTAATTTTGCTTACTAAGTATTTATCAAAGGATATATAAACAGTAATAATAATATTACAAAGGAAAAAAATGAGTATTTAGTTTCTTTCTGAAATCTTAAGTTTGTTACTTGCAAGACATTTTTGTTGGTTACACTTTGTAATTCAAATACATTGATTGCTAAATATTAAATTTTCAGATCGACTTTTCTTTCAGGCAACTTTAACATGTTTAATTGATCATTAAATAACTTAATTAAATTTAAACTAAAAATGAATGAATTGTGAAAATTTCTGAACTTTTTGGCGAGAATTTTGACAAAGCATGAGAATAAATGATAACAATTTATCTTTTTCTCTTGTTTATTAAATTTTTATTTGGCACATATATATATATTTGTATATTAAAAGCTATAAACTTTATTTCTTACTGTAACACCTGTTGGAGTTTCAATTCTGATAAAAAGTTTTTGGCCATGCAAGAAGCTGTTAGAAATTATCTTCATGGATTTTAGTTCTCATTATTCACTTGGATTATTTAATTTTCCTGATCACTTGAGCACTCATTACTTTGTCATAGTATCTTATATAATCATTACCTTTTAATTAATTTTAAGGCTGTTTGATGGTTGAAACTGAATACATTATGTATTTTAAATAAGATGCTGTAAAAAATTATCTGTGTCTGTTATCTATGTCTTGTTCAGAACTGTAAAATAAAACCAAATTTATTAAACTATGTCCTGTTACTTCGTTTTCCATATTTAACACAAGAAAACTTTCTAAAGGGGATATTTTGAATAATGTGCTCCTATTTATCGTTGGTGTAAATAAGATTGCTCATTGCTATTTATTACATTTCAATGTAATTTTATCTGCTGCAAGATGCATTTAAATTGCAACTCAGCATCTGAAACGTTCTCGTTAAATAAATTCTTTACAGATTTTGGATAATTATTTTTAACCCTTAAAATGTCATGGCATTTTTTGATCTGCTTATGAAGAACTGTATTTAGAGAGCTTTTGTTAGTGTAATTTTGTGTAATTCATTTTCATAAAAACTCATTCGGTAAAATAATATTTAGCTTACTGAAGAAAATAAGAAAATGAAATGTTCTGAACAAAGTTATATACATCAAAAGAAATCTCATGACTGGATATCTGACTGGATGACTGTCTTATCCAGGCAGTCATGCAACTTGGAAAATTAGAAGACTGCTTAATGTATGTCCACAAATAATGATTTATCTAAAACTAAAAGATAACAGAAACTTATGATTTGTATTTGAATGATAAGGATTGAAACATGTACAAATAACTGTATTAATACTAAAACAAATGTCTTTAATCAAAATAAGTTAATTATATTGCACTTTTGTTCAAAAAGTTGATATGCATATTTGTAGCGTTTATTTGTGAGATATTTTCTCTTTGCAGCTTTTTTAAGGATTAGGTTCTAATTCTAAAGTAAAAAATATACCTCTGCACATTCTGAAGAATTATACCATCCCTCTCATGCAGCACATTGTAGTGGTTAATAGTTAGCTCATCCAGCTGACTATTATACCATTACATTGCATGATACCTGAACTAAAATATTGTAAATAATGATTTACCATCACCTTGATTTAGTTAACTGAATTTCATCCTCTCTCCTTAATTGCTTTTTAAGTGGAGGTGGAAAAAAAGTTTGATGGCATTCCTTTGCATATGCTTGTATAACATAGTGGCTAAAATATAAATTAGTAGTTGAAAGATATATAGTTTGATTACTCGAGTATAGTTGATTATCTTGTTTCTTAAAAACTGATAATTTTGAGCACAGCCATTCCTTGATGTCAAATTAGATTCGCAAGCAGCATTCTCCGTAGAAGTCAAAATGATCAAGGAGCAAAAAATACTATGCTATAGCAGCATATTTCTTGCAAGACAAACTGATCAATAAACTAAAATATTGTTATTTAGAAGTAACTTGCAGAATATTGGTAATATCTTGTTTATTAAACTTATGTGAAGGAATTTAGGATAGGTAAAAAATTTGCATTTTATTAAAATCATTTGCAGATCTAATAAACTAAATAATTTGTTTAATTTATGCAAGTTTCTTTTCTTTATCAATGGCTCTGTTACTATGAAATATGCGTAAATTTAACGCTTGAAATAATATGTATGATTCATTGCATCAAATTTTTAATTTAAATAAAATTTGACAGAAGAACAGAAGAGTGAGCAATTTGTTGTCCCGAAACTGGAGCCTGGCGTGAAATGCAAAGTAGGTTAAATAAAATTTCTACAAATTCAGGACTTTTAATTTTTATTTATTTATTTATTATATATAATATTCTTGAAATAGGTGTACATCAATAAAGAAATTTACATAGGGCATGTCCAAGATATCTTGAGTGATAGTGAAGATGTTTCGGTATATATCGAAGAATTGTGCAAACGGTAAATATATTGTAATTTGAATAATGTTCTGCTTTTTAAATTCTGTTTAATATTTGAAGAATATTTTAGATATTTATTAGAATATGAATGAAAACTGATCAGTTTGCTCAAATTATGAAATGAATTTTTTCATAATTATAGCTGTATTGAAACTTAACTTATTCTCTTAGTTGTGTAGTGTCGTCTAATGTAATTGAAATAGTTCCTGTGCCTGCTTATAAAGGTAAAATACTTATTTATTTTTAAAAACTGCATAAAGTATGTATTTTATCTTTTTCATTTTTTAAACACTTTTTTTTTAGCATTGACTTGGCAAGGAGGTAAAACTTATAAAGTTTATACTGACAGTGCTCAAATAGGTATGTTTAAGTACACTAATATATAATAGTTCTAATTTAAACACTATTTTAATTCTATTAAGTTGGCAACTAAGTTATTGCAGATTTTAAATAAGAAGGAAAACTCAAAATTGCTACCTGAAAATATAACTTTATAAAATTAGGTATTGTCTTTTTTTGTCAATGACCTTTTTGCCATCTTTCAAGCAGTGTCATAATTCTATCTTTATAAAACATATGATTTTTATCAGAAAAAACTGAATTAAATGACATTTTACATCATCAGCATCATTAAATTTTTACGATTTAAGAAGTTCTGCATGGAATGAAATAAATATCTGGTTGTAATGAAAGTTTTTCACTAGAAAATATTTTAAATAAAGCTTGAAAAAAAAAAAACAAACATGAAAGCAGCATCTGTGTGGATAGTAATCATCACCCAAATCAATGATTTTCTGCCAATATTTTGGCAGTTTTTCAAAGCCTTTGGCCCAGAAACTTGGTGGCCACGAGTCCAAAAACAGATCAAGCTAATTTTGAGCATCTTGTGCAGAATGGAAGATAGCCCCAGCAGTATTGGTTACATCAGTATTTTGTTTCTTCAGTAGAAAATTTATGAGATAAAATAGCTACCTCTGAAAGTAGTTCTTATTCTAAACAAACCTCATAGTGTCCTGATGTACAACAGTTGTAAGATGGAAACCCAGTTGGGATAGAGACCTAGTTTTATATCTGAAAATGTCTGTTTGTAGATTGGGGCATTCTTGTCACTTTAGAAAAAATGTAAGCATAAATCTTTTTCATCACTGTCTTAACTATAGAAAAAAAAAAAGATGTGCGCAACTGAAAAGTTAAAGAAAATGCAATTGTAGGTTGTACAGAAATTTAATGTTATATGCTGAGAGGTGATTCAACATACGAGTCTCAGTTGCTCCTGGAGAAAGTTACTTGACATTTTAGAATATGGGGCTCAAGAATGCACTTTTTTTTTTTTTTTTGGTAGGCCAGTGAATTTAATAGAAAGAATCCTGACAGTGAGGAAACTGTGGACAGTGACGTAGATTAGTAAATCAGACAAGATGAGAATGATCAACTTCTTAAAGATGATGGCATTGTTGCAATGGTGGAATAAAAATATCTAAGAGCTAGATGAAGACCTGGAAGATAATGCAAAAATTTAAGACTATGCATATGAAGCACAGAAGACTACATCAAAAGTCTGTAATCCGGACTCGTCGGGACTTCGGCGATTCCGGATTATAGATCATCAATTTAAATCTGGTAAGATGGCATGCAGAAATTATGAAATTTAAAATATGAAACAGTAATTTCTGAAATAAAGAGCAATTAGGATCTAAAGGTATCAAAATTTAGCAAAAAAAAAAAAAAAAAAAAAAAAAAAAAAACTTAATATTTATTTACTTTATTAAACATTTCTTTCAACGTGCACATGCGTAAAGCATACATTACGCATAGTCGAAATTAGAAAATTACAACCAGAAAACTATTTGATGTGTATTAGTGATATTTATGACGACGAGGAATTTAAGTCATATCAAAAACAGAATACATAGAGATGAAATACTACATTTAGTAAGGAATTATAAGCTGAATAAAATAAAAACATCTGCCCTGAAGATAAGGTTAGTGCTGACAGATCAACTTCCAGTTCATTGTGCACCGCAACTACCCCCCTGCAGAGCAGCGTGAAACTGATAAACAGGTTTCGGAATGGTTAGAGAAACAAAGGATATGCCTTTATCCATTTTTTTGCAGCAATTCCACTTTTTCATGGACATCGAAACATGCTTTTGCTTTGTAGATCCTTTGGCAGCTCCAGAATCGGAATTTTTTTTTGTCATAATTGAAAGTTCAAGCTCACTTTTATAAAATTGCTCTAATAGTCTGCAAAAAATAATAAGCCAGATCCAATTCAAAGATTAAGGAACAACGCAATCTGCAACATTAACTGAAATAGATAATAGGATAATTTTAGCTCAGCTTATACCGTCCGTTATATATTAAACGCGCATGTGTAAATGTATTGTGCACATGCATGAAAGTATTGTGCACGTGCATGAAGGTGTTATGCGCATGCATGAAGGTATTATGTGCATGCCTAAAGGTATTATGTGCATGCCTAAAGATATTATGCGCATGCGTAAACATATTATGTGCATTCATAAATATATTATTCATTTATGCATGCGCAGAATGTTTGTCGCTTTGAGGTCTAGATTATAGATCATTCAAGATTATGGATGTCCAGATTAAAGACTTTTGACTATATTGGTAAAATATTGGCATTATTTTGAGGTGTTTCTTCAGTGAACATTTTATTCTATCGTATATCATATATTATGGTGTATAACTTGCACCATTTGGGAAATTGCACTTTGGCATAGTCTCTCATTTAAAAATACCCATGAGTTCAAATTTTGTACCTTCTGCTAAGTAGGAAAGCATTATGCCGAGGTGTGATTTTTTTTATGACTTATTGTTTTTATGTGAACCGTTTTTGTACCTTTCCTATCGACTGATTTATTTCCTGTCATAGCAAACATTACTGAAGTTTTATCCATATTTCCAATATGAGATAGTAAATTTTTTTGGCCTTCGTAAATCAATACACATATTTCTAGAAACTTACCAATTTGTTGTCCTAATCTTTCAGAAGCCTTTGTGAAACATTTTTGTTTCTCATAAAACTGTTATTCCATGTCCATAAATTAACAACGCCAACTCAGAGTTGCTTTAAAATTTCACTTTCACTTGCATTATTTTTTTGCCCAGTTTAAAGCAAATGTATTCTGTTTCTTGTTGCAGTTAATGCATTCTGGTGAATTTTTAGGACCTAGTTCTAACAGTTTTTTTCCCCTTAAAGACAGGTCATTTCATTACTCCTTTAAGTAAGTGCATTTATTCTTAGGCATATTAATTATTGTAATTTAATTTTTCTCCAATCATGTATGGAGCTTTCACCAACAGCAAATGTCAATTGCTGCTGCATGATTTCCATTTTCTTTCACAAATGAAACATTGCATTTGAAACTAGTATTGTGTTTGTTTCATTTGGTAGGAGCCATATTTACTACTAAAGGAAACACTAGATCAACTGTACTTCAACTAAAGTGAATGTGGTTTACTAAAGATTTTCATGTTCACTTCAAAATCATGGCTTCAAATGACTACAAAAGAGAAAGCTTTTGACTCCTAATTCTGTGAATTCATTCAGGTCGGAACTTGGATTCTTACCACAAATTATGCCCTCCTTTTCTTGAAATGCTAGAATAATGTTGTGTGCATCTGCACTGAGTACAATCTACCCTCTTTGCACAATTATTTACTTGCTCAAGCATTTCCTCAGGTCCCCTTATCAGTTCTGTAAATCATTGTTTGAAATCCTAAGAAACATCTTCGAGTGAATGACTGAAAAAATAAGAGCATCACACATGTACATTTCCGGTTTCTTTGTAAAGAAAAAGTTGTGCATCATACTGAGAATATACCTGAAAGTTACATAGTTTGAAATAATAGGTGTGCATTATGGGCCTGAATATATAGTATATCATGGAGTAGTGCAAAAAAGGGAATGATTATGAGAGAGGTAATGAAGTATCACTATTTTTTTATCCAAAAGAATCTAGTTGATATTCCTACATTTATGTATTTTCAATCCTTTTACCTGCACAATAATTATTCTTTAAAACTTACATCTCTCAATTTTTTTGTGTATTTAAGCATTTAATAGATGAATTTTTAGCAAAATGTTATAAACTCTGTATAATTTTAATAAATTAGGTTATAGCAATACATAATGAGATGTCTATATCAGATTGCCTAGAACTTGATATTTTCAGTAACCCACCAATAATTTAGTCCACATTACACTAAATTTTCAAAGTTCTGCTGCGAAACTTGCATAATTTCGAGTACTGGTGAATTCTCATTGTTAAACTTGGGATCTATCTGGAAAATGTTCATTTCTTTTCTAGATCAATATTATTCTGTAAAATAATACAAAAATGTTTTGTACTTGATATGTGTTAAAAGTCTGAAAACATGGTAGAAGTGCAAAATGAAATAAAAATATAAATGTAACAAAAAATTATCTGAGTAATCGATCTTGATTAAGAAACTAGAAAGTAATACTTAAATTAACTAAATATCTGCTAAAAGTAAGTTTTATGGCTTCTTGCATATATATTTTTTTACTGTCATTTTCTATGACGGTGATTGTAACACTAGTTGCAGCTTTCAGGTTTCTGCTTGCATGTTATCCTTGGCCTGTTGAATTGTCAATTTTGACATTGAATAAACTAATAAATTAGGAAATAACATTGACAATTTTCTGGATTAAAAATGTGTTAGTAACGTGCGTTTGCAAGTGATACATGTGTCCAGAAAGTACAAGCACACATTGTATTTTAGACACAAGGGAGAAATTATTATGCACTAAGCAGCATAATTCCAGCAATCTCGAACTTCTTCTGATGCTTGATTAATAGTAATGCACCTATGCTTATTAAAATGGTATATTTGAATTTGCAGTGACAATAGAAAATCCCCACAAATGAAAGTTATGTAAAATTACATAGTTTTTCAGTGCAACTGGTAACTTTCCACATGTAATATTATGTAGTTTTTCAGTGCAACTGGTAAGTGTCCACTTCAAATTCAAACTGCACTATTTATGATGACATTATGAATCGACAGAAAATGACAAAGTGGTGGTGGAATTCTTAAAAGGCAAGATTGATATTTTTGATGAATGATGCATAGGATATATTTAATTTCTGATACTTTCTTTAAAAATTGAAGAAATTTGAAATCACTGTGCAACAGCACAGCATTTGTTCAAAATTGTTCTTGCTCTGTACATTTGCTGCGTACCCAAAATTTTAATGGAAGAGTACAAAAAAGGAAGAATGAACTTATGTGCTCAACTTCCTTGCTCGATATTAACTTTGTAATATTCATTTTCTGGCTTGTAGATTAATTAAATTTAAAATGTACCAAATTTTACTCGTTAAATTTTTCCATGGGGGATTTTCCTGTATTAATATAAGTTCTGAAAAACTAAAAATTAAGGGTCTGACAGTTTTTTAATTTCTACTTATGATGACTTTTATTACATACTATGTATAAAATAAAACAGATTAAAATTACTCTTTTATACTTAGCATAATTGAATAGAATATTAAGACTGCAAATTCTAAATTTTCAAGGCAAAAAATGATAGATGTAAAATAATTTCATGCACTTGATATCAAAACTGATTATGTACATAATGTTTTTGATAACATAAAGGAGAGAAAAGATTTCTCTATTATTATTAGCTATTTTCTTCATTAAAATTTTTTTCACATCTTAATTTATATTTACTTTATTTATAAAATATTGTTTTGTAGAGTTTATAATTAATTCTGAATTAGTGTTTTATATGATAAGCTGGAGCTAATTTTTTCATGTATCAAATATTATATATATTTCATAAATATTTTCATAATTTTTTTGATTAATTTAAGTATTTCATAATTTTTTTGATGGATTGAATTATGTTTTTACGAAGTATGCAACTTCTGTCACGAACTTTATTTTCTTAGATAAGGACAAGAGCAAGAAAAAAGGATTTAAGAAAAACTGCCAGGTGACTATTATTGCATTGCTTTTTATACTAGGTATATTTGTAATATAACTTTAATCTTCTACCTTATAATTGAAATTTTTATAGGATTATCCACAATCTCACTTTGCTAGTGGAAGTAGTCCACGAAAATTAAGCCCCATTCTGTGCTCAAATTCTGTATCAAGTACGTCTGTTGCTCAAAACTCATTCCTTGCAAAGAACAGGTAAAAGGAAAATTGCCATGATTAAAACTTTACAAAATAAAAAAGTATTAACTTTTTGAAATAACTTTTAATAATGTTATTATACTGAAAATTGCATATGCAGTGGAATACAAATTTGTCTGTTGCTCTTTGTTTTGTACTCTTAGCAGTTTAATTCTTTGAATTTTACTGAAATAGTAGTCTATTAAACATTAATACTAATTTTGCTATTTATAGCTGATTAACTATTTTTAATAAACTTCTATTATGTTAATTTTTTAAGTTGAAAGACAGTGAAATATGCAAGTATTTTTTAACTTTTAAAAACATTAATTTCTATTTTTAACATCAAGAACATGAGTTTAAATTTGGTAAATTTTAAAATCGCTATATGATGTGCGGATGGTCCTGAAAATGATGGACTAGGAATGTGCATTTGTATTATTTAATTCTAAATTAACATTTCATTAAAGCAAAAGGCTGCATCTAAGTAAAAATAATTTTCAAGCAGAAGCATTTTTAATAACAAGCTATATGACTGCATAAATATAATAAACCTTATTAATATCAAAATGGACTTGTCAACATTGCATGCATTTTCCAATTATCTAAATAAATAAGAAATAAAAGCATAATCTCACAAGGAGTACAAAATTCATATTTGAAATTAATTGGATCAAAGTGCATGTGGGAAATGAATGAAGATGTCAGCTAAAAAGGAGGGGAGGGTGCAACAATTATAGATGCAATTTAAGTGATTATCCTGTACTGTAATTCACATGTCAATATATTGCTTCAAAGAATTAACAAGTGGAATGAAATAAACAGTTTAGAAGAACTTGGATTAATTGAAACTTGCATAAAATATTTATTTTAAATATTCAAGATGACAGTTGTTCATATAACCAGTTTATTAATTGGTATATCACAGATTATGACATATTTTATGAAAAATATTTCTGAAACAAAATTATGCATATGAATAAAAGTGATTTAGAACATTATAGTTTTAATGAATATTATTAAAGTCATCGTCACCTAAAACAAATCGAGAACTGACACGGAGTACAAAGTCTAAAATCTTGACTTGGTACTTCGGTGATTCCAGATTTGAGATTTTTCTGGATTTTAGATCAACTTAAATTTAAAAAGGTGACAGGTTGAATTTATAAAATTAGAAAATTAAATAGTTGCTTATGAAATAATGAAGTATATATGACTATAATGGAATCAAATTTTACCAAAAAAAAAGCACTCAATATTTGTTTTTGGCTTTCCTAAATAACATTTCTTTCAATGTCAGTTATTTAATGTGTTTCACTTTTTATATTAATACATTCTCTTTAGTTCTATAGATAGTCATAATTTCTTCCTTGCTTACAAAGTTCCATTCTTCTGTTCCTGTAATTGCCACTGCAAGAATTTCCACTAAACTGTCAATTAAAAATTTTTCGTTCTCAACATCTACATCACTTTCCTCACTATCAGTAGTGATAATTTTTGGATTTAGAACCATAGTACAAATTTTGTCATATGTTAGTCAACTGATGATTGAGGCATATCACAGCAGAAAAACTTTTGTAATGTCATCGTCATGTATTACCACATCTCTACGTTTCTTCATAAATTTCATCAGTTGGAAAATTTTGCTTTATTTGCATTATCTGATAAGCTTCAGATTCACAGGTATCATAAAGTGTAACTGGCTTTCACTATACACTGTTGGTGAAGTATCATGAGATTGGTGACTAAAGACATATCGCTATGCTAAAATTTTGTCTTGCTTCTGTCACACATAGATGAAGTTAACCCTGAATTATATTAATTTATTTATTTTACTATGCCAGTTTCCAGCATATGCTTAAAGCTTATCCGAGTCCTGAATCTGAATAAATAAATTCCCACATATACTTTAAGGCAGTTGTAGGCATTTTGTGGCCCAGTGCAGTTTTTGCGGTTCCTAAATTCTAAAAATTTTCCTATCTGTAAATTTTGCATCTCTGTGCTTTCTCCAAGTTTTAAAGATTTTGCCATTCCTTAATTTTCTTGCTTGGTGCTTCCCTAAATTCTGCCACATCAATTCTGATGCCGGTTCAGGGTTTAAATGAGTAACAAATCGGTTATTATTAATTCAAACAGCTCTTAATTTGTAATCTTTTCATCTACGAGTATCATTTACAAAATCAATTCTTTGCAGTAATCTATTCTAATGGAAAGAAATTTCTGTTAAATTTCTCATGAACACTAAACACTTCACAGCGCAGTTAGCTAATCATCATCAAATATAATGTTAACATAAAAGGTTGCCTTCCTTTTTGTAATTCAATTACTAATATTAAAGAAAATTTTTGACATTGCTACATGAGTCATTTTTCAAGCTGTGAGATGTTGATAGTCGTGTAGCAATGAAAGCAAAAAATAATAACGATCTGCACGGTTACCCTCAGGGAAATAAATTATTTGGTAGGTGTAAAATCAATGGCAAGCAAAAGGGGAGAGCCAAACTATTGATCAGATATATGCTAATAAATGATTGTTTATTCAATATGGAGGTATTTTATTTAATGCCAAAGGGGAATAAAGAATCAGGACTCCCTATGCATTTTATTGTGAAAACGTATCTAATGCACATGTGTAAAGCATACAAAAAAGTTTCTGAAAACTAAAGGTTATTAGTGGTCTGGATTTTGGATCATTCCCGATACTGAATTTCAGATTTTGGACTTTGTACAGTATTTTCATACATTAAATATGCAATAAAGAATAAACATTAAAAATTCAAACGACATCAGAATATTTATCTACAGAAGGACTAGAATTCTATGTTATTAAAATAAGATTTAAAAAGTTTAACGTATTTTTAAATAATTCCAAAAACATGTTTTTAATGTACAGGGTGATCCTTTTTAAAGGGATAGTGTTTGGAGCGCCCTGTAGCACGATCTAATACCCAAAATGGCACGAAACTTGGTATTTAGGCTAATCAAGATATGGGGAAAAACGATTCCGTAAACAAAAAAATTAGTTCCAAAAATCGCCGCTAGGGCATTTTGTGGCACTGCTGTAGCTTACCAATAACGAGAATTAGCATAAAAAACGGCTATCAAAAAAAAAAAAAATGCAAATGTTGTGCGATGACAGCGCCAGTAATAGAGGCTATAAAAGCAAGTAGTAGACAGCTCCGACAAATAATCTCAGCTGAAGTAAACGAGCTCCAGTGGACATGCCTTTACCGGAACGTGCATTACTGGTGAAGCTGTATTACATGAATCAATGCAATGCATCTGCAGCTCTTCGGGAATTTCGAACCAGAAAAAAATTATGAAAGGGGCCTTTATCGCTGAAGGTCTTAAGAAAATTATTAAGAAGTTCGAGGAAACGGGGTCACTGACCATTTGAGCTGAGAGAGGACGTAAACCAGTATTAGAAGATGTAATAACTGATATGGCAACTGCAATTGTCGAAGGATTGCAGGGAACCATTGCAGGTACTAGCAGTGCCCAGGGTTTAGCTCGACAATTCGACATGAATTATTCCATGGTATGGAGAGTTTTGCGCCGCGTTATTGGATTTTACCCCTACAAAGTCAGCCGCTTGCACGAACTGAAACTAAGTGATTATGATAAGCGAGTGACATTCGCTCTATCGTTTCTTGCCAGGGTAGAAATTGATGATGCTTTCTCATGGCACGTTCTGTGGGAAGATCAGTATCAGTTTTAGCTCAATGGGTCAGTAAACACACAAAATACCCGAATTTGGGCTTCTGAGCAGACTCGCACCGTGCATGAAATCCCATTAAATTCCCCAAAAGTCACTTTTTGGTGTGGTTTCAGCCGAATTCATAATTTGGCCATTCTTTTTTGAGGCACCATCACTCTGACAGGACTCCAAACGTGCACGATAAATGCAGAAAGGTACCACAAAATGCTGCAAATGTTTGTTATTCCATAACTGCAGCAAAGAAACAGTCTCCAACAGACAATCTTTATGCAGGATGGTGCTCTGCCACACATTAGTAATAAGGTAAAGCAGCTGTTGTGCCAAAACTTCACTCATGATAGATTCATAAGTCGCAGTTTTCCAGTCGCATGGCCACCTTGTTCCCTTGACCTCACGCCATGTGATTTTTGGCTCTGGAGTTATTTGAAATCTTAAGTTTATGTTGGTGGAGTATCAAATTTGTCTATTCTAAAGGACAACATAACAAAGACAGTGAGGAATATTTCTTGTGATATGTTACATACGGCTGTGGAGAACGTTGTGCACAGAATGCATGGTGTTATTTCTGAGAACACTGCTCACATTGAATGTAGTCTAATTTCTCACCGGGGAACCTAATGTGGTAAATAAACATTAATAATTTAACTGTATGGTTGTATGTCTTGATTAGTCTAAATACCAAGTTTGGTGCCATTTCGGCTATTAGATCACACTACAGGGCGCTCCAAACACTGTCACTTTAAAAAAGATCACCCTGTATATTGTTTACATTAACAGAAATTTGGAAGCATTTTGTCAATTATTTTCTTAGTTATAAGAACTTAAATAGTTTCAAGGAATGAAAAATATGAAACTAAGAAAACTTCATTATTCTGTTTAACCTTCTCTTAAATAAGGGTAGGAATTATAAAAATGTTTTCAGTGCATGTTCTAATTGTACTATTACTATTGCATATTTAGGAGTCGTGTATGAACATGTAATGCCTTTGACCCAGATTTGAAAAGAAAAAAAAAAAGTTGAAAGTTTAGTGGTTTGCTTTCTAAATATTCTCTTAATCTGAAATGAATTGCTGAACTAGTTGTTTTGTGATTTTTTTTTCATGTGCATAGAAGATTACTTGGGTTTTTCTTTTTTGCTATAAAGTGGAGAGAAAAAGTTAACTTTCTGTCATTTAATTTTTTTCTAAGTTTACAAATACTATGAGTATTATAATTGCACGAAGCATTAACAAGCAAGGTCATCTCACCTTGAATTTTTATTTGTTTTTGGAAAAGACTGATTATACAAAATTCAGCAAAAC